GCATGGCCGACGCGATCGAGCACATCTCCGAGCTCTTCCAGAAGCTGCGGAACAACTCCGGCGACCTCGTGCGCCAGCCGTTGTCGGACACGGAGAAGAAATTCCTTGGCGACGCCCCCTGCTCCATTTTCTGCACCGTTCTGACATCGAGCATCAGCAACATGATCAGCAAGTCCGGCTCGACGGCCGATATCCCCTTGGCGACATCATCGTCTCCATCGCGAAGGTGATGCTGGTCTCGAAGGACATGGGCGCGTTGACGCTCGGCTACATGGACATCGCTGAGTCGACCGTCTGCCGCAAGGATGCACGGGTAAGTCGTGAGTTGGCGATTGCAGGCCCCTGGCCCCCCCCCTTCCCTCCCTCCCCGGCTTTCGTTTGACATGTGTCTCATCGTTGGTTTGCGTGTGTGCATGGGTGCTTGTTCCGGAATATCACGGTGGTTCCGGCGCGCTATGACTGCCTTGAAGTGCCGCGATTATTCCGAGCGGTATGATTGTTCCAAGGGGCTATGCAAACGTGAAGGGCCCCAGCGACATGATCGCTCAGCTATTGTCCAAGGTCGAGTCTGAGTTGCCGCGCCGGGGCGCGGCGTGCGAGGTTGCGCCCCAGGAGGTTTGCGCGACCGAATGGCGCGAGCAGCCTGCGATCGACACGCGCCGCATAGCGGCCCGCGCGCTTCGCTCGATGGCCGACCAGAGCAGCATCAGCAAGGACTTGTGCAAGAAGTGCCACGCTCTGGTGTCCTCCTTGAACAGAGTCAGCGCCAGGCTGCGGAGCCACTTCAGGCACGCCTGCGGCGATTCTTTGCCACGTGGGAAAGCTGCCTGGGGGCAGGCGCAGGCCTTCCATGACCATCGCAAGGGGCTGTCAGGGGATGCGCTCGAGGAGCGCATCGCCGTCGTGAAGAGGTTCGTCGACACCAGGGACATAGAGAACGCAGGATTCGAGGATGCCATCAAGACCCTGGCTGAGGCCCTTGACCTCGGCAAGGGCGCTGCGTCCCACAAGTCGTTGGCCGAGGTGCTCGGGGCGGTTGCGGCTGCTGGGCGGGCGAGCAGAGGTCCGCGAGGGATGGGGCCGAGGCCGACGCCGCCGCGACGGGCGCGAAGATGGTGCTGCACAGGGCCATGGCGGCGATGATCGATCATTCGGCGCGGTTCCACGCATTCATGGATGAGGGATTCAGGGGCAAGGGTTGCGCTGCATGCGAGGATGAAGGCGCCGCGGGCGAGGGGCCAGATGAAGCTTGCATCGCGCGCATGGCGAGGGATGTGTCTTTGCGCGTGGCCATCGTCGACTGGGATGGCACCTAGCACACGCAAGTGCTCGATGAGACGGAGGGGGGATTGGGTCGGGCTTGGAATTTGCATCGGGTCAGGCGCCGGCGTTGCAACGTGGGCACCGCTGCGGGGTTTGCGTCGCAGCGCGTTGCACTTGGCAGCGCAAACAGGAACGCCCAGGCATCGGGGCCAAAGTCGGCAGACATGGAAAACGACGTCGGGCAGATCTACGAAGCGGTCCTGAAGCTGATGGCGGGTCAGAATGAATTGGTCGGCGACGTCGCGAGGCGCATCGCGATCGAGATCGCGCGGTGGAGGAGGGGGGCAAGGTCGGCTGCTCAAGCGCGGCGCTTCAGCAGGCGCAGGAGGCGCAGGAGCTCATGGTCTTATCCTCGGCAACGCTGATGGGTGACGCCCACGCCGTCGCCGCCAACGTGCCCTTTTGCATTCGCTGCGCTGGCCGACGTCGACGGGGCGACGGAGAGGGCGTCGACTGGGTCCGATGGGCCCTTGAATGCGCAGGTCGAGGGGCGCAGCGTGGAGGGCGCCTTGGGCGTGTTGCAGGATTTGCCCAGGGGCCTACCTGAGGCCGCTCATGGATGACCGACGACGCTGCGACAGCGAAGCGCCACCCTCTGACCTAGAAGGTCGAGGCCACCATCGCAGAGTTCCCCGCGTTGAAGGCCACCGCCGAGAACGGGGCAAAACGGGTTCTTCGCGGTTGGGCTCGGAGATGAGATCGAACATTGGGCTCGAATAGTTCGGGCACGCAGAGGGGCGGGTGAAGGGCGCAGCGAACTTGCTGGAATTCGCAGCGGTGACCGCGTCGGTCATGAAGGGTGACCCCAAGGGAATCGACGCGGCCCTGATGCGCGCCAGGACGAGGCTCAAAGTTGCGGTGAGCGACTTACCAGCTATCTTGCAGGAGCGCCTGCGCCCGCCCACCACGCGCGCGAAGCCGGGCGAGGCGAAGGCGGGCCGCGGAGGAGATACTAAAGAGCTCAAAGAGCTGGGTCAGGTGGTTGCTCCTAACGCTTGAGTGGTGGAGGCTGGCGCGCCTTGGGCTGTGGGCGGACAAGTGCCTGGCGATGCAAGAGGGCACTTGCAGGGGTGCCAGTTGTGAGGGAGCTCAGCGCATGATTTCGCGCGAGGTTGACCAATCGGCGCGCGCCGCTGTGGTGCTCGAAAGAACTGCAGCAATGTGAAACCATGGAGAAAAGACGAGTCCCTTTCGAAGACGAGATATCGATCAATTTGGAGTGCCCCGAAATACCATATCACGAAAGTGGGCGGCACCTGGGCAGGAGGGAGCGGGGGAATACTTCAAAGAGATAGGAACGATGGGAGGGGACGGGGAGGATAGGGGCTGTGATTAATACAGAATGCCCCGCACTACCCAAACTTCAATGAGGATATGCCAGGTATCTTGCTCTGCTCGCGGCCTCGTCCATATTCGACGGGGTGTTGTTGCTCTGCTCCTGACCTCGTGGCCTCCGCTTCTTTCTGGCTTGCCCAACTCCCGGCCTCCTCCAGACATCCTCCATGGTCGAGCGTTTTTGGGTTGAGCACGGCCGCCTCACTGACGAAGATGGGAGGGAACAGTGGTGAGGATGAGAGGAATTTCCGATGAGGACGGGGAGTGGGAGGAGGAGGAGGAGGAGGAGGAGGAGGAGGAGGAGGAGGAGGAGGAGAAGGAGGAGGAGGAGGAGGAAAAGGAGGATGAGGAGTAGGAGGAGGAGGACCAGCTGGGAAAAGAGGGACGGCGGATGAGGAACACACTTTTGCCGAACCAACTTATCGAGATACGTCATTTGTATATATAATGCATATGTACATATATGTATGTAAATGGCGTGCCCTCGAATTGTAATATCGTCAACCGTGTCAACTTCGGCAGCCATGAGGAGTGCAAATTCTGACCCATCCCAGGAAGGACCGAGCCTGTATTAGCCAAGCTCTATCTTCAATGCCCCTCGGGCACTCGTGGGGTTTTGCTGGACCATCGTGGTCGTGGTTGTTTTTCGGGTCGTTTTGGGATGACGGAAACCCCAGAAGACGAACATGCGAATATCATTCAGCAACGCAAATGGAAGTCAATGGTTTGGGCGTCTTCGGGCAAAGTTGGAGATCCTCTGAAGGCCTTCTGTGGCCCTCTTGGAGGCATCTTGGGCCGTCTTGAGGTCATATTCGGCAGCGTGGTGGCCACATTTGCCAGTCCTTGAAACATGTCAGGCAATGATGCTGGCCTTGGTTGCCTGCCTGCGCCGTCTCGGGAGCTCGGGACGCGGTTACTTCTACGAGGCAATTTGCTAGTCTTTGAAACATGTTAGAGGCAACGATGCTGGCCTTGGTTGCCTGCCTGCACCGTCTCGGAAGCTCGGGACGTGGATTCATAGTTTTGTATGAGGCCACCGCTTCTTTACAGTGGGGGGCCATGCCAAGAGACACCTTGCTTGCCTCGATTTTTGGTTTTTGATGGTTTTGTTACGGGAAGCGTGACGTTTCCCCGCCAAAAATCAATGGGCATCCTGGGGTCTCGGGGTTGCGTTTCTTGTGAAAGGTTTCTTGTGGACTGGCCTCCGCTGTAATTGCCAGGGATCGTGCCTTCGGAGGGGGGGGGGTACATGCAGCTGGGGTGCGTGCGGATGGGGGGGTCCTGCTTCCCCCACCATGGCCCTCACACCTTTTGAGGGCATGTGACCACTGATGCCGGAACTAGGAGAACAACAAGTGGCATAAGCATAAAAACTCAGACGTCCGCGCGGATTTCTCGGATCGGCGCTGGACCCCCCTCCCTGGCGCGCGGAGCGCGCCAAGGGCAGCGCCGGAGGCGCCGCCGGGGGACCCGAGCGCCGATCCGAGAAATCCGCGCGGACCTCCGAGTTTTTATGTTTCTGCCACCTGTTGTTGCCTCAGGAACGTCCCGCCCCGCCGCCGCCTCCTCCTCCAGGCCTTGCCCTGGCCGACGCCGCCTCGATCCTCGTGCTCCCCCTTCTCCCGCGCCGAGTTCCTCGGGGGGGGCCCCGCGCCCCTGCCCGGACCGCCTCCTGTGGTGCCCCGCCCCCCGAGATGCGACTCGCCCCTGAGAGGGGCGCGCGCCTGAAGTTCTCCCGGTTGTAGTCGAAGAGCCCCAGCAGCAGGGAGGAGGCCTGCTCGAACATCGACAGCGCCATGCTCGCGGGAGGAGGAGGGGGTTTTTCCAGGGGTGTTTTTTGGGTGGAAAGCCCCCGTGAGGTCGGAGGGGGGTAGGGGATTTTCAAGGGGGAGTTTTGCGTATGTTGTTGTCTTCTCATGTGGCTTCCAAGAGTTTCCCCACCTCCCCCCCGAACCTTCCCCTCCTTCCCTCCTGGGTCCGGGACCCCCCCCCCTCCGAAAATCCCTGGCTAGGGTGGGGTCCAGGGGGGTTCGGGGAACTGCCACACGGGTCTCGACAGACGAGTACACGGGAGGGGGTGGAGAGGATGAAACCAGAGGGTTGTGAGGGCGGAAACAAGGGAGGAGGGACATGCTGTAGGGATGAATTGTCCTTTCCCTCCGGAGGAAATCATGCACTCCCGCCCGATTTGTTTGGCCTCTCTGCGCCTCCCTGAACCTCGTCTCCAGGCAGGAAGGGTGGTGGGATACAGCCATCGCGTGCTTTGCTGCCGTTTCTGAAGAGTTGGATATACTCAGTCGTATACCAGCATAAGTTTGTTAAGCCACTCGGTATTATCCTCCATGCGGATCTTAGTGCATGAAAGCTCCATAGTTGCCATCAGTTTGTTATATTTGGTTTTGGACGCGGTCGGCGGCAGCTCTAGCCACGATTGTTCTTGTTGCGTCTCGTCATCAAGCGTGGCAGATCGCGTATTCCAGACACGCGATGTTGTCACAACCCAGGCAATGGGTGCGAGGTGTGCTGTCGCCGCAGATTTTGATGGCGATGGTGATATGGACTTGGTTTCTGCATCGGCCGTCGACAACACTGTTGCTTGGTTCCAGAATGACGGAAGTGGGCACTTCGGTGGCCCACAGCAAGTCACATACAGCAGCAATGGTGCCCGCATCGTAACAGTTGGCGACATTGATGCCGATGGGAAGATCGACATCATAGTGGCGAGCTACTACGATCACACAGTGGGTTGGTTCAAAAACGATGGTGCTGGGAATTTTGGCAACATTCATATCAGAGACGCCTGCGGCGAGTCACCGCCGCCCCCCGCCTTTCTGGAAGCGCTTTTGTGGCCAAACGTTCAGCCAACACTTGGCCAAACTTTTGGATTCGGGGAACCCCTGCGGGATGGAGGGAGGGGACAAAAGGAGGAGCAGGAGGAGGAGGAGGAGAAGGAGCACGCGGAAGAGGAAACCTCTTGCGGGCCTCTTGGGGCCTCCTGGACCTTCAGAATGCGGCGGGGTTTCCCACATGTCCTCCGACCTTCTGAGATGCCCTTTTGTGGTTCTTGAGAAGACTTAGAAACCTTCGCATGAGGCCGGGGACTTCAGAGCATGCCCGCCCCCGCTACTGCACTCGGAGACACCTTGAGATACTTCACTCAGTGCCTTCGGCACGGTGGCGGATCATCAGCAATTCTGCCTTGAATGCTCAAGGCGTCACCGTCGCAGACATTGACGGTGATGGTGACCTCGACGTGATCTCCGCTTCTTCTGGCGATCACACGATCGCTTGGTACGAGAATATTGATCACGGGCGTTTCTGCGAGGTGAAACACGTTGTAGATGATACAATAGCCTGCGGCAACAACCTCGCGGGCGATGACTCGCCCCCCACTCCCCGAGCTCCTCCCAACAACCAACGGGTTGCCTAGAAGAGAAGGTGAACTCCAGAATACACCTCTAGGGATCTTCGGACTCACCTCTATCGAGGATGGACCCAAGGTTGATCGATGAGCAGATCCCGCCTCCTCGCTGGGAGCGTTGGGGGATGAGACGGCACCTTGCAAGTGAGGGAGGGGGGCGGGAGGGGAGGGCGAGGTCCGCCCAGCGGGCCCGACAGCGGGGACGGGAGGGGGCGGGGGGGAGGCTTTCAGTGGCCTGCGGCGGGAGAGGGGGGGCGGAGACAGGGCTGCGGGCTCGGGGCGGCACCCCTGTGGACAGAGCAGGGGTGGGGCGAGGGGCACCCGCCCGCGGGCGGAGTGGAAACGGGGGAGAGCGGGGATGGGACGCGAGGGCGCCAGAAGGGTGGGGGGGAGGAGAGGGTGCCCGCGCCTGTGGTCGAGTCCCAGGGCCGGGCCATCTCCTTCTCGGGGCGTTCTTGATGCACACCGTAGCCAGCCCACCGCGTTTTTTGTCCGTCTTCGAACTGTCTGGGGCGCCGACAAGGCCACTAGGAAATGAAAACGCAGGAGTAGAGGGGCGAACCAATTGCAAGGGGTCCTTGAAGGCTCCAGAAGCCTTCTAACAGGCACTTTTGCACGCCCCAACATCCGGAGAGGGAACATACTCCCATACCCGATGCCGCTACTCTTCCCTCGTCGCCACGGCTGGATTCTCTTGAAAACCATGGTCACAACGCGCCCCAGAAGAAGTCTTGGGTAAGCGGGTTCGATGAATTTCATTTTTGCCCCAAGCGTGCTGAGGGCACGGTGGCGGAAATCGCGATGGGTGCCCGCACAGTTGTTGCCGGGGATTTCGATGGCGACGGGAGTATTGACCTTGCGTCAGCGAGCAAGGACGACAACACGTTCGCGTGGTACCCGAACTCAAACGGCCAAGGCGATTTCAAGGAGAAGCGGGTCATAAACGATCAGGCGTTAGGGGCCTACAGCCTCTTCCCCATCGATGTGGACCAGGACGGTCACACTGATTTGGTTGCTGCTTCCAATGCGGATGATACCGTCGCGCTCTACCGCAACAGTGGCGCTGGCCATTTCGAGAGAATTATCATCGCTGACGATGCTGACTTTGTTCTCTCGGTTTTTGCTGCCGACCTGGATAATGACGGAGACATTGACACAGCCTCCGCCAGTTATTTTGACGGAGAAATCCGGTGGTATGAAAACATTGGCAATTCCAGGGATTGGGTAAAGCACACTCTGTACCAGGGGTCGCAGGGCCACTACGTTTCAGGCGAGGACTTGGATGGCGATGGTGACGTGGACTTGATTGCGACCACAACTGCCGAAAACACAGTGGCCACCTTTGTGGCTGTGACAAGCTGCAGGGTTTCCTCACCCAGTCCCGAGTGCTGCCGCGCCGGCCAGCAGTGGAATGGCACGGTTTGCGCTGCCTGCGAGTCGGGCAAGTATGGAAGCGGCAGCGGCGCTGCAGCCAGATGTGCAACATGCCCCACCGGCACCTGCACGATTGCTGGTTTTACCAAGCTTCCCTTGACATGTGTGGCGGATTGCGTGAATGATATCGAGGCGGCTTACGCCGCCTGTGACTGCGCACCTGACACGTATAAAACGAAGAGTGATATCTGCGCCCCGTGCCCTGAGGGTCAAGAAAAGCCTCTTGGCAGGAGGCGTACTTCTGATGACTTCCCCACCGACGCAAGTGTACCAATATATTGGCAGGGCTTTGACATGTCCTTGTGCACAGTGGTCTCAGCCGAAACAGACGACACTGAGCTCGTCATCCTGATTTGGATGGTGGGTTCGTTGTTCGTTGTGTTTGCCCTCGCCCTTGCGTGTTCCGTCGCTTACCGAGTGAGACGGAGTTGGACCGAGAAGACGAGAGTGCAACAACGATACCACGCTATCACCCAGGAGCGCATTGAGAAAGCTTGCGCGACGGCTCAGACTTGCAAGTCTAGTGTTTATTTCATCAGGTACTCGACCTTTAAGAAGCACGGAAAGTTTACCCGGCATGAGGTCCACAGAGAGCGAGGGGAGCTATTCTGCTTGGACACCTACGAAGAGATGCTAGTTTGGGTGGGCACAGTTGCCACCGTCTTCGTTTCGCACCAGTGGTTGGGTTTCGCAGAACCGGACCCTGATAAGATTCATTTCCCAGCAATTTGTTCCGCCTTGGACATCATTTGCGCAAGAAATGATTTAGCTGAGACCGACCTCTTCCTCTGGGTTGATTACGTTTCCATTCCCCAGGCAAATTCTTATCTCAAGGATATTTCCATCAGCTCACTTGGCGTATACGCCTCCATTGTCAAGTACTTCGTCATCGTTGCCCCAACATGCATTCACCATGACGAGCAAGTCGAGTGCAATTCGGCGACCTATCAGAGGCGCGGTTGGTGCCGCTTGGAGCAGTGGGCACGAATGATTGCTGGAGGGCTCCAGGACATGTACATTTATGAAGGTGGCAATTTGGAGCCAATCTCGGACAAGGCGCATTGGTACACGGCAAGCGTCAAGGTATTCGAAGGAGATTTCACAGTCGCATCGGACAAGCACCGCATCGTCGATATCGTTCTGGGATTGTGGTACGTCGCTCTCGTCAATTCAAAGCGTGAAGGTTCTGATCAGATGATGTTGAAAGATCTCGTGGACCAGAATAAAGAAAGCGTCTTCCCACCTGAGTTCTTCGAAAACTACATTGAAAGGCTGGAGGCGTTCGCCAGAATAGAGAAGCCCTCGTTGCTGTCCCGAGGGACTTCGTCTCCGACCCAGTCTTACGACCCCACTGAGAGCGTACCCAGTGTGAGGAGCCGTGTCTCTAGGAGGAAGTCGTTCGAGAACTTCGAGGGAGAGCGCGCCGAGCGGCTGCAGGAGGAGCGCGCCGAGCGGTTGCAGGAGGTTCGCGATCATTCCATCTAGGCCGCAGAGGGTGAGATGATGGGCCTGTTTTCCAGCACCACCAGCACAAGTTGGAGGGGGAGAGGGTCCTCCTCCTCCTCCTCCACCTCCTCCTCCACCTTCTTCCCCCTCCAACTGATGGTGGTGGTCGTGGAAAACAGGCCCATCTGCTCGATGCAGATTTGTCACCAGGGTTGGACCTGTTGCGGATGGTGTTGGCCAAGTTTGCCAGGCTAGCACCGCTTCCTCGAGGTATCCCGAGGATGGCCAAGCACGCCCCAGAGCGGCGACCGCATGATTATGTAAGGGCCTCGAGGGCCTTTGCTTTACAGTCGGGGCCAAAGTACCGACCTGATCGGGGCCCCCTGTTATCCCCTTCTCTTTCCCTCTCCCTCTCCTCCCTCTTGTTCCCCAGGGGGAGGGGAGGGAGAGGGAGTAGGGGAGGTGCGAGGGGAGGGAGGAGGGAAGGAGCGAGAGCAGGTGAGGGGGAGAGGGATATAAGGGAGTGGAGGCGGAGGAGCGAAGATGAGTAGGAGGAGGAGCGAAGAAGAGGAGGAGGAGGAGGAGGAGGAAGCGGAGGAGCGAAGAGGAGGAGGAGGAGGAGCGAAGAGGAGGAGGAGGAGGAGGAGGAGGAGGAGGAGCAGGAGCAGGAGCAGGAGCAGGAGCAGAAGCAGGAGCAGGAGCAGGAGTGAGGACGAGGCGAGCAGAGAGCGCGCGGGGTCGAGCAGGAGCGCACGCGAAGGGGGGGCAGACGGCCAACGATTTCAAAGTGCGGCCCCAGAGGGTTCAACCACCCCCCCGTGCGCCCCGGGTCCACTCTCGGGCCCCGCAGGGCCCGAGGGCGGGCCCTGGTGGCCGAAGGCGAGGAAAGGGAAGTCCAGATCGGAGGCAGCACATGGCGTCGGAGGTCTGGGGTTCCGTCTTGGGGGGTGCGGAGGCGGGCGCGCCGTGGCGCGGGCGGGGGCCTCGGGGGCCGTCCGGGGGCCGCGCGGCGCAAAAGGCAGTGGCTTGAGCGTGGAGACGAGGTGCGGCCGTGCCTGCCGTGAGGGAGGTGGGCCTGTAAATGTCCGCTTGGACTCAGGAGGGAAAGAAACACACAGACACAATTATTCGTCGATTCCCCAGAAAATATTGGAAAATATGGGAAGTGGGGGGGAAGACAGAAACCCAGAAAATATAAGAAAATATGGGGAATACTTTTATTTGTGTGTATTTGTTTGTGTGTTCTGGGGCCTCTTCATGGACAACTCTTCTGGGGCCCACCCGACGGATCTGTTCGACGCTGCATCGACGCATGACTGGAGCGGGTGGTTCCAGGAAGGTTCCCAGAGCAAGCATAGAAGGTTCAGGCGGTTCTTCGCTGTGTCCGGCCTTCCGGGGCCCTCCACGGGCCCCGTCACTGCCAATTTGCGCCTCCGGTCGGAGCGCTATAGGGTCCAGGATCCGTTCCCTTCGTGCCAGCGTGCCCAGGGAAGGGTCGAGGGCCGAGGGTCGCGGATGGCAGCCAGGGTCCCGCCCAAACCTGGGGGCGGCTTCCTTGTCGCTGAGCTCTGCATGCGCCCCCGTCCACTCCACATCTGGTCGGGCATCGGCTCCGGCAGCTGTTCCCTCGATTCCCTTCGCGGCCTGCACGAGTCTCGTTTTTGTCAGCGGGGCCGCCCTCGGATCTGAGGTCTCTCTGTGGCTGCGTCGAGCCGGGGCAGGTGCGCTCTTGGGATCGGGTGCGGCAGGCGGTCGATGATCGGTCGACACGGAGTGTCGGCGATCGCTTTGGTTCTCGATTCAGTGGCGTCGCAGACTTTTTGCGTTCGGTCGCGTTCGGTTCGGTCGGTTGGTGTCCGAGGCCTCAAGCAGAGGCGAATCATGCTCACCAGCTCATCGGCCCACCAACGAATGCTCTATTCACCTCTTGTGGTTTGCACGAACTGTTCTGAGAACATGCTCGACTGATACGTTACTGTTCAGTACATACGTTTACGGTCTAAGAACATGGTTTTCGTTTTTAGAACATGTTTGAGTACGTAGTGATAGCCCCATTTGGATGATTGGACGTTCGGTCTCTATTCCAAGGTCACCCGAGGAAGTGCGAAGATGTCGGTGCTTCGCGCATCGCGGGTTTTCTCTCTTTCTCTCTCTCTCTCTCTCTTTCTGCTTCTCTCTATGTGTATACATATATATATATAGCCTTACGACCAGTGCCGCCGACGTCACCGTCGTCGGTGCCGTCGTCGGTGCCGACGACGTCGGCGGCGACGACGACGCTGACATGGGGCAGAGTCCTCAGTGATGCTTCGTGGGGCCTCGGAGCGCGCTCGGAGGCTTTTTCGGGGCAGTTTTGGGGCCTCTCGGGAACATCTTTGGGGGCCTCTTGGAAGCTTCTTGGGGGTCCCTTCGGGCTTCCTTGGGGCCTCCTGGGAGCCTCTTGGGGGCCTATTGAGGCCTTTTTGTGGAAGTCGATTAATGGAGAGGAAGCATGCTGCCAATTGATTTCCAGATGTCTAAACAATGTTCCAAACATGTTTTAAATATGTGAAAACATGTTTGAAACATGTGTTGAACATTTTTTACACATTTTCAACACAGTTTTAATTCAATGATAGGATTGTTAGAGTGTCCATTGTCATGGCATCCACAAGCCTTGTGGGAACCTCTTGGGGCCTACTGGGAGCTTCGCGGGGCCGATGACTCGACATGTTCGTTCGGGCTCCCGTGTGGGAACCCTCTTGGAGCTGTTTTGGGAGCCTCCTGGGCCGTCTGGGATGCCTCCGGGGCAGTCTTGAGGTCCTCTTGGGTGGTTTGGGGGCCGTCTCTGAAACCTCTCGTGGGCGTCTTTCTCTGATCTTGGTGGCATCTTGGGCCGTCTTGGGTCGTCGGGAAGCCGAACATTTTCGAGCATCTTGGAAGCCGCTTGGGCTTTCAGGAAGCCGTCCTTGGCGTCTTGGACCGATTCTTCGGCGATGCGGGTCCGTCTTGGATCGTCTCGGGGGCCGCTTGGGCTGTCTTGGAGTTTTTGTTCGGTCCTGGGGGAGACTGGTATTCTGACCGGCGGCGCCCCGCACCCCCCAGGGCCTCCCCCCGGGATTTCCTCTGGGACCCCCCTTGGGACGCCCCCCCCCCCCCGGGGACCCCCCCTTGGACCCCCGGACACACCCGGGATCCCCCTCCCCCCCTCACCGTCGGGGGGAACGGGGAAAGAGCTTCCTTCCGATTCAATTAGTGCCAGCTTGTGACTATGAAATGCCAGGGGGTCGTCGCGGGTACCGCCGAGGGGATCGTGTACCCCCTTAGATGACAGCCTCAAAACGATTGGCTCTCGTAAAACAGGTGTTATAAGGGGTCGTATACATTCGAGGAGATTTTTCCCCCTCTCGGGCGACGTCGTCGTCGTCGTCGACTACAGAGCGGGCCTACGCAGCCCCCCCCATGTGGCATCCGCAGTGCGTTGTCGTCGTCGTCGTCGTCGTTGTCGTCGTCGTCGTCGCTTTCGTCGTCGTCGCCGTCGTCGTCGCCGCCGTCGCCTACAGCGGGCCCGCGCAGCCCCCCCCCAATAGTGCGGTATCCGCGGCGCGTTGCCGTCGTCGTCGCCGTCGATGTCCGCCGTCCGTCGTCCTCGTCCTCGCTCGTCGTCCTCCGCCTCGTCATCGCCCTCGTCATCGTCCTCGTCGTCGCCGTCGTCGTCGACTTCACCGGTCCTCCTCGTGGCCGTCGTCGACGACTACGGGCAGCACGCAGGCCACGACAGAGGAGGGGGGAGAAGGACTGCCCGCCGTGCTCGGGTCGGACGAGAGGCCAGCAAGAAAGGAAAGGGGGCTGCGCGCAGGTGGTCTCCGTCGCCCCGCCGAGGGGCCAGTCCGCGAGGCATGGCCGTGTTCGGCGCCGGGAGGCGCCCGGAAAGTCAGCCATGGGAGCTGCTTGGCCACGCCCCCTTTTCGTCCGACCGGCTCCGATCGCGCGCATGCGAGGCAGCTGGCGCCCCCCTGGCTGCGGCCAGGGCAGAGCGGGCGCACCGGTTTGACAGATGAGCAGCGGGAAGTGCGGGGGCGAGCTCCAACAGCAGTTGTTTTTCATTTCGAGCAGGTGTCGCCCTGGCTCACGGTCCCTGTTTGTGCCTCCCTTGCCTCCCGCCCCCCCCCTTCCCCAAGTCAACGTTGTTTTTGTCGCCTTCACGCTGGCGGCCTGGCGTCGGCGCGAATTACTGGTGCCGCCGCCGTTGTGTTTCAATTTGGCGAGCGCCCCCCCTGCGATTCGCCCGAACAGGGAAACAACAAAAAACAAACACGCGCTTCCCACGAATTTCGGAATCCGAACCTGCGGTTACGACGTTGTTCGATCTCTTTGTAATTTCGCTTAGGTTGGCTCGTTCGAGGAGGATGTGGGAAAGGGGGGCGGCAACAATCCCACAGCAAAAGGGGGTCCACACGCGACGGCAGCGACGACGACAAGGACGACGACGACGACGACGAAGACGACGTCGCGTCAAACAATCTAGCGTGTTCCACACGCCGACAGACTCGGCGGATGTATACACGTGCGTGCGGCAAGACCCGCCACCGTGCCAGCCCAGCGTTTTGGGTGGCGACGGTTCGAGGGGCACGGGAGGCCGTCACGTGTGGCACCTGGATTATGAGGATGATGGGCGCGATGACGATGATGATGAGGAAAAGGACGATGGTGATGATGACGATGGTGAGGAACATGGTGGTGGTGATGATGATGGTAATGGTGCTGACCCTGCCGAAGATGATGAAGACGATTACGATGAGGATGCGTTTGGGTGCATGGCGAATATGATGATGTTGATGATGATGATGCTGGTGGCGGTGGTGGTATGATGATAAGTGTGGTGATTGTGGTGATGGTGACGGTGGTGATGATGATCCGGTTGATGACGAGGACTAGATGATCATGAGCGTGATGATGTTGATTTTGATGACGATGGTGCTGGTGATGATGCTGGTGGTGATGACGCGAGTGCTGGTGGTCATGCTGATGCTAAGACCGACGATGCCGATGATCACGTT